GTCACCGTCCCTGCTCCAACCTGCTGTGGGGCACACGGTGGACACCATCGAAATCGATGGTCGAACTGTCATATTGTTACATCGAAAATTATTTATCGTTTTCATTTGGCTCAAGACTTTCTTATGCAATGAAAATGCCCCGCAGATTGGACCTACATATGCTGGGATATTTCCGAGATGTATTGTGCCTTATTACGTATATGCGGGAACCGTAAGGCAGAAAAGCTACCTCATTATGTACTAGAATGTGAAAATGTCCGTTTTGTGCCAAGTTGCGTTGCGCCAATTCGCAAATTAGTTACATATGTCACGAAAATAAATGTGCTTTAAAACGAATGCTCGCATTTAGATTTTATTGCTTTTTTAGTGCATAAAGTCATATAGATTTAATACTCGCGATTGCTAACATTCCAACCCCAATTTACTTGCATCGAATAAAAAGCCGCTTTTCGAGGTAATGAGAGTTAGTACAGTAAATCTTTAATTTCTATACCATTGACCTCTAGCAAATTACAAACACAGATGCCAAACCATTTTTAACAGATAGAGGTGCTAAAATGTGTTTTAACATTGATGTTCGTCTAAATATTTAAAAATTTTCTTTGGACAAATTGCTAAGATACATGTTTTCTCAAAGACAATGGGCTTCGTCGGCATACGTATTTCTAATCAAAAGAAGAAGAGTCGTACACCGGGAGGGGTTTATCGGAGGTCCGACGTTTCGAATAGTTGATTCGTCTACCCATTTTCAGAGACGGGAAAGTCCTGCGCACAGCTCCCCTTATATGGCGCACTTTGTTCAATGCGTGACCCGCCAATGCCGCCTGTGTGGCTGCACCCAATCCGCATGTCATCGTGACCTGAATCGTCCCCGCCGGCCGCGGAGGTGACTGACGGCCCGATTGTCCTGCGCCGTGACTGTCCCCCGTTAAGAAGGTTCGTAAAGTTAGATAGGGGGGAGGCAAATTGATGTGGCGGTTGACAGAGCAGTCGGTGGACATCCAGGCTTCCTGCGCGTGCCTTGCTGCATGATCACTGCCCCCGTCCACAATCTCAACGGCGTCAAAGTTAAAGATGTGTCCCATTTGGGCGGCATGGGTTGCAACCTCCGACTTTGGGTCCAACCTTCGCACGGCCATTTTAGGCTCGCGCATTCGCGTTTGCAGCCGTCGGCCGGTTTCCCAACGTAGTTGCACCTTCTGCAGCTACATTAAAGTAGGTAGACAACGGCTGACATCTCCTACTTAGGGATCGGATCTTTTGGCCGCATTACTTGCCGGCGGATTTTGGAGTCAGGCCTGTGGGCAACACCTATTTCGCTATTTCGAGTGGCGCAAGGGATCTAGCCACGGCTTTGGAAACCCCTTTAATGTACGGGATGCTCCGCCACGAGTTTGACTATGCTCTGCATTCCGTTTTTTGGCTGCCTTTAGCTCTGTTCAGTGGATGCCCGCGGATGGCCGTTGGCTCTGAAGAGTTCTTGGAGGAGCTTTATCTCGTCTAGTTCGGCGTTTGGCGTGCTGCAATGAGTTTCCATCCGTCGGTACAGCGTGCGGACACAGCTTCGTTTGTGTTGCAGCGGGTGTTTGCTGTTGTAGCTGAGCATTTGCTGCGTGTTTGTCAGTTTTCTGTAGACCGACGTCAATAGTTTGCCGTTTGCTTGGCGGCAGACGAGAATATCCAAGAATGGAAGTTTGTCCCCTGCTTCCTCTTCCATCGTGAAATGTAGATGGGGAATGATTGAGTTCAGTTGTTCCGCATAGTAGTCGATTTTATCCCGGCCGATGAGTACAAAGGTATCATTAACGTATCATGCCCAAAACTCGGGTTTGTACCCCTCGAATAGTCGCTTCTCGAGTTTTTGTAGAGCCGCATCGGCAATGAAACCTGAGCTTGGTGAACCCATTGGAGTGCCCTTGATTTGTTCGTATGTGACCCCTTCGAAGGTAAAGAATGTCTTGAGGCAGTACCCC